ACGTAAAGTACGGTATGCATAACACAACTTACAGGTGGTTTAGCGAGAAACCAGACTTTGCGCGGGTAGAGCTTCTAAGCTGAAAGCTCTACTTCTCAGGGCTTTCTGACGCTCCGAAGCTTCGCTACTAACACCTAGGAAGTGCTAGAGAAAGGCATTGATGCCTTGGGGGGGGGGTAGGTGTATGGGTTGGGGAGAGAGTAGGATGGAATGGTGTGAAGAATGGAGTGATTTTCGACTTCTATTTATAGGCTGGAGGTGATCCAGTACGCATGGTGTACTGGGGGACACGTGTCAGCACCATATCGTAAGCCTTAGGGAAGAATGTGTGGTGCCAGATCGCGACACGTGTCGCCCTCTGGTTAATCTTAAAATTAATTATCTTGTAAAGTCCATAACTTTCACATACGAGTTCCGTTCTTGACGTTCTTTATATCCACGTGTAGCAATCGACAGGATCTATAACTTTCATTTAGACTCCGTCGGTTAATTTTGACTTTATTTTTAAAGTTATATTTTAACAGTCTTAGACAGTTAAAGTCAGTTAAAAATTCATAAATGTGTCGTCCGACGTCCGTTTTCGATTGTCTTTGTATCATCGAGCTCCTATTGACTACGTTATCTATATGCACGATCTCGGTTTTACATCTACTACGACTTTTGTTTAGATCTCTAAGGCTAAAAAATATTTTGTCAAAAATTTACTTTTTACGATATGCGGAGCCGTGCCGGTTTAATCGCGAAACTTCGACGGGTCATAACTTCTTCGTTATAATTCGGATTTCAACATTCCTTATATCTCCAAAATCCTTGTTACGACTAATTCAACTTTCTTCAAAGATATTGAGTCTAATTATTATTTTATTTTAGACGCGTATTTTATTGCTATTTTATTATATCGTTATAAGCACATATATTGCACATAATTACACGTAAATCACATAATACTCAAATAAATCTTCTTCATAACATCAAATATGTTACAATTGTTGACCATAACTAATAAATCATCATAATAATGCTTAGTCAGAAACGCGAGCGTTATAGACCCCAATCCCATATGGGGGATATTTTGTTTAATTTCGGGGATGTAGGCGGGGGCAGGCAGTCCAGTCCCGAACTCCCAATGGGGACCCCGTTAATATATTATTTATATTAATATATATTAATTATATAAATATAATAAATAATAGCAAGTATTTTGAGCTTCCAAAATCAACAAACTATCATGTTTTTAAGTTGTTAGTATAATGTTTTAGAGATGTTATAATATTTTTGCTTTTAACATGTAAATTTATGCTATAATAACTATTTTTTTTATCCCAAAGATAGCTTCTTTTAGCCCAAAAAAACTTCTTTTAGTCCAATAACCAACTTCTTTAGCCCTAAAAAAACAGCCCAAACGAGGGCGGGGAAAGGGTAATCCAGAGATTTGGGGGCGAGGGCGGGGGTGGGGAGGCTAGAGATTTCGGGGACGGGGGCGGAGGCGGGGAAACGGGGGAATTTTGCGGGTGGGGGTGGGGGATGCAACCTCCGTCCTGTTTGCCTCCGTTGGCATCCCTAGTTATGATGAGTTAGTGTGAGTGTGAAGCTTCATTGTGGCCAATTTTGGTTCTTAGACGATGATTTTGTTTTTCGACAATGGATATCTGAGTGTATCCATATTTAATTGTGTTTGCCTGAGATTATGACCAGAAGGTTAATGACGGCGTAAAAGATGAAAATTACTAAATGTGTTCAAAAATTAGTTTAATGGTAAATCATGTATGAAATTGTGAGTTTCATAATATTTTTTGAACAAGTTAAGTTTAATGATGTTTTTTGAATATGTAAACCAGTTATACCTACAATAACCACTAAAAATGATATTTATCGAGCAACAGAGCAACAAATATAAGTTAAATGGTAAATCATGTAAGACGAAAATGACTAAATAAATATAAAAATTAATGATTATTACCCTACAAAAATTATTTCCCTAAAAGAATACAACACACCAAAAATTATCTATGGCAGATACTTATTATTTTAAAGATAATACATACCCAATTTTAATACAACGGTAACAAATTTTTTGATCAAGTAAAATTGTGAAGTTTTAGTTTTAATTTTTGGGAAATCTCTAGAAAAGTCCTAAACTTTTAGTCGAATTTATGATAAAGTCCCAAACTAAATTTTGTTTACAGAAAAGCAAAGAATACCGGTTAAAACTTCGAAAAAACCCTTTTCGGCCGGTTTCGTAGATTTAGCCGGTATTCTGTCTTTTTTCATTAGTTTGCTTAAAATTTTGGGACTTTTCCGGAAACTACCTGATAACCAAAATATTGGGACTTTTCTGAAAATTACCATGGAATTAATGGATATTATTATTAACAAATCATCTATAAACATAACAAATATTTTTATTATAAAAAAGGAAATACACTTGTTGCTAATTTCTAGGAATAAATTGGTGGTCTAAGTACTCCTCTATTGTTTATTGACCACATCAAACTCTCTACGTTCCTCCTATGCATCGTTATGGGTATGATGGTGAGATGTACTCAGTGAGTGTTCCTCTAATGTTGGTGTTCCTCTTATGTTGTTTAACCTAACTACCACTCAACATCCATACCTCACACGGCAACAACCGTAGGCTAACACACATCTATCAAATGTGAAAAAGGGAATCGTGAATGATAGTTTATATGGAAACAAGTATAGGGTGATTATCTATATAAATTGTAATTCAAAGTTTATTTTTCACTATGTGTGTAATTTGATGGTTGTTACCGAATAATGCATGGAGGTTAGGTGATATTTAGGTTAAAGAACATAATGGAAGATCTATATGTTCAAGAATAATTATGTAATGATATTTTCTAATAACATGTGATCCTATAGCGTCACACCTAATAGAAAGTAGACACTTATTGATTGTGTATTAATAAATATTATCAAATCTTTTATTTAATTGAAGAAACGTACATAGTACATCTCACTATGACACCCACAACGATACATAGGAGGAACATAAGGAGTTTGAAGTGGTCAACAAACAATAGACCTAGTCGACCATTTTATTCCTAGAAATTAGAAACAAATGTATTTCATTTGTTTATAATAATAATATTTGTTATGTTTATAAATGACTTGTTAATAATAATATCCATTAATTCCATAATAATTGTCAGAAAAGTCCTAATATTTTGGTTATTAGGTAATTTTCAAAAAGTCTTAATATTTTGAGCAAACTAACGAAAAATGATAGAATACCGGCTAAATCTACGAAACCGGCCAAAAAGGGTTTTTTTCGAAGTTTTAGCCGGTATTTTGTGCTTTTTTATAAACAAAATTTAGTTTGAGACTTTTTCATAAATTAGACTAAAATTTTAAGACTTTTCTGGAGATTTACCTTAAATTTTTTACTAACTTCTTCAACAATTATTTTTGTTTTTAATAATAAATGAAGACCGTTAGTATGCAAAATTGAAAAAGAACATTATTTTTTGCAAGAATGGTATATTCCAAACAAAAGGATATATCGACTATTATGTTTAAATACGTTTGACCTAAAACTAAATCGTTTTAATAACTATTATAAAAACTTTGTTCGAAAGTTGTATTTATTAATAGTAATGACATTTCAAGAGGACAAATTTGATCTATAAAGAACAATTAATATGACGCAACAAACTTAATGCGTGAGTAATTTATGCCCTTCTATCTCAAGCTAGATGCCAAAATGGTCCCATAATCACTACAACAAAGTTGGTATCAATTTGTTGAGTGTAGGGCTAAATAGGCACATTCTTCCTCTTTTGATCTTTAATTTATAATGTTTGGTGATCAAATTAAGATCACATGATGATACGATACAGTTTAGTTATTGACCTATTCTCTTGCCATGATGTTAAGTTGCTTTCAAGTTATCCCTTATTTTATGTTCCAGTAAAACACCACGAGTAGGCCACGATTTACAATTCCTCAATTTTAACTAACTTTAGGAGTCTTTGTTTATTTAATTCATGTATTGTTCCATTTGAGTATTATGAATGATATCGGAAAAATGTTTCAAAACGTGGCTCTTCTTTTCTTAGTTTCTTGGGAGACTAGCCTCCTTTAATTGGCTTCTATCAATGGTGCTTTCATTCCCGTTCATCATGCCTTCCGGTCGCGATCCGTCCACCGATGTCACACCGCCAAGTATCCGCGAGCAACTCTCCACACTCATCGTTATTTCCACCGCTAATGTCCGCCGTCTTGATGCAATTATGACACAAATGGTCACTGTCAACACCCTCATCGACATTCAAACCGGGACCATGGCCAAAATGATCCCGCCTCCACCTCCGCTTCCACCACCGAATCAGCACCCAAGGTCGCCGTCGACATCACCAACGCCGTCTCCGCCACCGCGATTGCCAACAACAACGCTATCCACACCGCCACTGCCACTGCGACAATGGTCGTTATCGCCACCGCCACTGCCGCCTCCAAAACCATTGCCATTGCTCATGTCAACACAACACCCACTTCCACTGTTACCGCAACCGCCGCCATCGAAAGTAACAACCAGGCAATTCCGACCCGTCACTTTTCAACCGTTCAAACCATAGTTTCCCGATCCCGTTGTTGTATGCACCCGTATGCGTATGCAGGACCTTGAGGACAAGGTCCATTTGAAGGATGGAGGAATTGATACGTGTCTAAGATGGTATTCTAGACCACCCCCATGGCCTCACCCAACATCAATGAAGGCTGACTCAGTCAATTGTTGAGCTAGTCTTCCACTCCAAGCATTAACTGCATTAGAATAGCTCACGTTTCCTTCATGCATGCATTATTTCCTGATTTATAGAGTAGTGGTAATTCTCATATTTATTTCCAAGTTGATGTTCAATTAGAGGTATGAATGATATCTGAAAATGTTCCAAACGTGTCTCTTCTTTTCTTAGTTTCTTGGGAGACTAGCCTCCTCTAATTGGCTTCTATCAATGGTGCTTTCGTTCCCGTTCATCATGCCTTCCGGTCGCGATCCGTCCACCGATGTCACACCACCAAGTATCCGCGAGAAACTCTCTACACTCATCGCTATTTCCACCGCTAATGTCCGCCTTCTTGATGAAATTATCACACAAATGGTCACCGTCAACACCCTCATCGGCATTCAAACCGAGACCATGGCCAAACTCATCCTGCATCCACCACCGAATCAGCAAGCAAGGCCGTTGTCGCCGACATCCACACCGCCACTACTGCCGCCACAACAGTCGTTACTGTCACTGCCGCCTCCAAAACCATTGCAATCGTCCATGTCAACCCAACAACAACTTCTATCGTCGCAACAGCCACCATCATTAATCACGGCACTTTCACCACAACAACAATTCCTATCATCGATTATGCCACCCCCGAAAACTACCTACATAACACTACCGAAAACAATTCCGGCAAAAAAAACGACCGAAAACAGTTCCAAAAATACTCAGCGGGCCTCGAGAACGGGGTCCTTTTTAAGCGGAGACAAATTGATACGGATCTCTTGTCATAGCTAAGGCCGCCTCCATGTCCAGATCCTTCCGTCCACGAGTACGACCCGATTGCTACCAGAAATCGGCATGAATCGGCCTTGAGGACAAGGCCATTTTTTCAGGGGCGGAGTATTGATACGATACAATTTAGTTATTGACCTATTCTCTTGCCATGATGTTAAGTTGCTTTCAAGTTATCCCTTATTTTATGTTCCAGTAAAGCACCACCGGTAGGCCACGATTTACAATTCCTCAATTTTAGCTAACTTTAGGAGTCTTTGTTTATTTAATTCATTCATGTATTGTTCCATTTGAGTATTATGAATTATATCAGAAAAATGTTTCAAAACGTGGCTCTTCTTTTCTTAGTTTCTTGGGAGACTAGCCTCCTCTAATTGGCTTCTATCACATGATCTATGCAGTAGGGTAGGAGAGCTTATATCTTTTAAGAGACATTAGCCTCTTATTGAGATGGTCTAGAAATAAGGATGTTGAGGTAGATTTGTGGTAGAACTTTGTTCGATAGGATGCCGAATACGACATAAAAAACTCGCTAGGAGTGGCACATAACACCGGAAAATAAGGATGTTGAGGTAGATTAGTTTTTCCCTACATTAGCACCTTAAACATCCGCATTATTAAAACTATGAAAAAGTTTCTGATTTGCTTCTTATTATGTTTAAACCGTGCTAAAGATACCCTAAAATATAAAATTTATGAGAAAAAAATCCGTCTCATCAACCCTTAAGATTCAACCAAACATTTTCCCAATTTTGGACCTATTAAGACCAATGACGGACCTTAGTGGGAGCCCGGGGTAACACGTGCTAATCCTTAAATTTTTTGGTGCAATTGAATTTTTTTTGAAGAATTTCCGACATAGTGCAATTTTCCGGTGTGTTACCCCTAATTACCTACCATTGACATTTTGTTCTAGGTCCACCACTACTTAAGAGTAATAAATAGGTCTGAATAGTACCATGATTAGCACATACATCCCAATTACAATTCAAAAATCAATCAAATACACCTCTAATGCCACGACCCCTTTCTCATTTGAAGATGTTACCTGTAACACCCCGACTCTCAGGTATAAACTTTCAGTCTTATATTTCCAATTCTAAAAGTCGACTCGACGAGTTGGATGCCCCGACTCGTCGAGTAGGAACGGTTCTGTTCGTGGGTTTTAAGTGACCGACCCGGCGAGTCGGAGGACGGACTCGGCGAGTTGGAGCTGGAATGAGAAACCCTAATCCCCCGAGGTTTTGCACCCTATTTAAAGGATCCTTTGCCCCCTTAGTCACCCCTTACAGCCCCTTGTGAGTCCAGAAACCATAAATCGCCGTTTTTCTCTCTTTTTGTGTGATATTAAGCCTTGTGGTGAAGTGTGGAAAGAAGATCTTGAAGTACTCAAGCTTGGAACAAGAGGAAGGCTGTAGATCCGAGTTCTTCTTCATCTTAGCACCGTTTTTGAGGTAACAAGTTGTTACCTTGACCTTCTTCTATCTAGATCCATGCATGTATGAGATTAGGGCCACTTTGGCAATGTTGATATGTTATTTTGGGTATTAGGCGTGATCTGAATTTGCAACTTCAGATCTAGGCTTATCTTGGTCTGTAAGATCATAAACTTTCAGCCTTTAGTGAGTTAATACCTTCTTCATCCCTTAGAACCTTTCTTTAGCTTGATTTGGGCTATTATCACATTGCATGTACGTAAAGTTTGCAACTTTACGTAAGAAGTATGCCTTAAGAGCTTATATCTTCATTATGGAGCTTTAAAGTGGCTTAAAAATCGTCTGGATGGAGAAAGGACTGAAGGGACTCGACGAGTTGCATGGACAACTCAGCGAGTCTAATGAAGATTGTCGTGAAAGGATTTTCTGCATGGACTCGACGAGTCGGTAGGGTGACTCGGCGAGTCAGCTAGGGTTTTCCTGATATTTGGACATGCATGAACTTGGTGAGTTGTAGGGAAACTCGACGAGTCAATCGGGGATTTCATGACTTCTAGAGTTCAGGAAGGACTCGACGAGTCGGTGAACTGCACTCGACAATTCGGGTCAACATGGACCGTTGACCTTGACCGTTGACCTTGACTTTGACCAAGGATTGACTAGTTGACTTCTGGGGTATTTTGGTAAATTGGAAATTTATGGAAATGATTTTATGGTAAATATAGGTGGTGGAGTTCGTGGCTGTGGTTCGAGATTTTGAGCTTATCACTTCGAATCGTCAGTTGAGAGGTGGGTTATCCTCACTATATCAACAGGGTCTAAGGCACCAATGTCGGCCCTTATCGAATTTGTATCCGGGGTTATTGCATGATATGCTTATTGATTTACATCCTGGTAGTTAGGATGGTGATATTCTTAGTGACCTGGTTAGGTCTGTATCCTAGTATATAGGATGATGCTATGTTAGTGACCGGTTAGGTCTGTATCCTGGTTATAGGATGTTGCTATGATTGATGATCTGTTAGATCGGTTTGACTGTTATATATGCTAGCGTATGATATTATGGTGTGTTTTTTGATTGGGGTTGGGTTGAGGCGGACCTGCTTTGTGCTGAAGGCCAACATACCCAGGGCGGTCCGGATAGACTACAGGCCCAGGAGGGCATGTTAGTCAGATCGAAAGCCCGACGAGCGGTCCGAATAGGCTGGAGGCCCTGCGAGGCGGTCCAGACGTGCCGAAGGCTCGGAGAGCGGTCCAGATAGGCTGAAGGCCTGCAAGGCGGTCCAGTCAGGCTGAAGGCTCATTATGCATGTTGTTTGCTTATATGTTTATATGATATGGTTATATCTGTATGGCGTTGGTATTTTGGGGGTAACTCACTAAGCCTTCGAGCTTACATTTATCGATTATTGTTTCAGGTACTTCAGACGATCGCGGGAAGGCGAAGGCGTGATCGTACCGCTCCTCACACTTTATGATTTTATGTTTTGATTCTGGGATACTCCGAGTATATACTATTTTGAAACAAGTTTTGTAATAATCATGGGTTTTGAAATGTTTTAAAAGTTTAAATTTGGCATGATTTTTATGGGTGTTACAAGTTGGTATCAGAGCCTTGGTTTGAGTGAATTGGAGGAAACACTCGCGTGTCTCCAGTCTCAAACTGAGGACAAGATTTTAAAACGATTTTCTTAAAATGTTTTCAAAAAAATAAAGGAGGATGCAAGTGTACTATCAGCCGGAGCTCGCGAATAGACCCCAAAATACCTTACGGATTATTTGATTATGTGATATGTGAGAACATAATGCTAGTACTAGGCTAGGGATCTTTAGGGATCGCATGATAGAATTTCCTGATTATATGATGCCTGGTAGCCTAGGGTTTTCCTTATATGAAATTGACATCATTATTGTAGTTGCTTAGTGTATGCATTTCGGCTGTACATAATTAAGATCTTATAGCATGAGAATGTTTGGTTTGGCCTTATTTCCTGTTCTTGTTTGATGAAGGGCTTAGGGTAGGATCAGGTATTCGAAAGTCTATAGGGTCCAACGTTATGTATGGCTAGCATACACGAGTGCTGCAGGGTTGGTGGAAGTTTCATGGATGGTTAGGTGGTTTGGGATGAGTCCACCGGTTATGAGATATTTAGCCTTCCTCTAGGAGTGAGGATTGAGCGCGTGCCATGCTTATGTATAGTTTTAGGGTGTTGTGATGATACTTGGGACAAATATGGGTAGGTGTGGAAGGTAGTATGGGCCCGTACTACTGAAAGCACAGGACCCATACGCGTAGCAAGGAAGTCACAACCCCTAGGGTTTTAGTTGGGAGTTGGTTCCCGGATTGTTATGTGGAATATCTGATATCTTTTTGGTATGTTTTCAGTATGGTGGTTACACGTCGATTCGTGACTGGATCCGGGCAAGGATCAGGAGAGGGCGGACAGGAGGCGTCGACAGCGCCCGAGACTATCGGCCGGATGAGGCCAGATGAGATGGACGACAGGATCCCGGAGATCCTGCATGATGGGGTTGCTGCTATGTTCCGGGCTCAGTTACCGGAGATGTTTGGGTCTATTGAGGCGCCAGAGATCCTGCATGACGGGGTTGCTGCTATGATTCGGGAGATATGCAGCCCTCATTGAGACGGCTGCCACAGCAGCCACAACAACTGTATCGGCGGCATGGTTGGGAGCCGGTCGGGCTTTTCAGTATCGGGACTTCGCCAACATGAAGCCCCCTACTTTTGATGGGACTCAGGATCCTATCAATGCTATGAGGTGGTTATCTGATAGGGAGGGGTGCTTCTTCACATGTTCATGTCCTACTCACCAAAAGGTCAGATGTGCCCTGAACCTGTTGAGGTCTGGGGCAAAGGACTGGTGGAGGTTGATGATTGGGTCTTACACCGATGATCAGAGAGCTGTGGTTACTTGGGAGCAGTTCAGGGATATGTTCCACGCTCGCTATATTCCACGAGTCGAGCGGGAACGGTTAGCTCAGGAGTTTCTGGATCTAAGACAGGATGGCGAGACGGTGACGGATATCACCCGCATGTTCACTGAGAGGGCAATGTTCTCCCCAGAGTTTTCTTCTGAGCAAGCTCAGATGACTCGTTATCTGAGCATGCTCAAGACTGATATTCGAGAGTTTGTGGCGTCCCAGTGTTGTGATACACTTCTGGATTAACAGGAGGCTGCTAGGCGGCGTGAGCTTGAGATTGAGCTACAGCTGAGAGCACAGGGTCGGGCCCCGACACAGGCACAGCCGGCGCCGAAGCGGTCTAAGACCGTTGATTCCAGATCAGGGGGACAGCAGGGTCGCAGTTGTTGCAAGTGCGGGTAGGGTCACTCGGGGGTTTGTAGATTTAGCAGTGTGTGCCACAAATGCGGAAGGGAGGGGCATTATACGAAGTATTGTCGTCAAACGACCCCGGTTCAGGATATGAGGATCTGCTACCACTGTCATCAGGTTGGTCATGTGAAGACCAACTGTCCACAGCCCGCAGCCAGGCCAGCGCAGGCTCCAACACCGGCTACACTGAGGATTACTGACGGGAGTCAGGGT